GGTTTTTTTTTTTTTTTTTTTTTTTTTTTTTTTTTTTTTTTTTTTTTTTTTTTTTTGTGTGTTTTTGATTATCTAATTATGTTGGGTTTACCATTTCAAGTTGCACACTTAAACAAAGTCATTTGAATTCCATTATAAAACGATGGTTGGGCTTATTTTTCTGACATTTTTGTCCTCATTTGAGAATATTCTTTTTGTTAATTTGTTGGCATCTCATCATTTAACTAGCAACTGTATACTGTACAAAAGTTAAACGTGTTTTACACAATGAAAACTAGTCTTCCCTCCCCCCACCCCTGCTGTAGAGAGAAGATGAAATATCTGTTTAATTACTCACGTTCGTCGTTAATGGAACAGAAAAAGTCCAGTGATGTGGAAATTGAGTCATTGCGAGAGGAATACCATCAGAGAGTCTCAACTCTTGAAAGGAAGGTTTGTCATTTCTTTTTTATATTGTTTTTCCAACTTCCTACATCTTCTTTCAGAAGTTTACTCTTCATTTTTCCCAAAGTAGTTAAATCAGGTTGACAACGCAATGGCCTTTTGTTTGTGTTATCCATACACAAGTTCAATGGGTCTGATTTATGAAGTTTCAACTCCATTAAGTTTAGAGTTCTACCAAGCATCAATGGAGTTTTGGTAGATGTTACATGTTCTACTGAAATTTCTTTCTAATGGATAGTTTCCAACTGTTTCAGAAAATGAAGGGAATGGGTGAATTAATTTTTTATGATGAAGCGAATAACTAACTGATTAGTCCTTCTACAGGAGGGATTATTTTTTTTTTTTTAGAAAATAAGAATTACGAAATACTCAGGAAACCATTCAAGCAAATGAAATTAGTAATATTATCCGTGAACGTATTGAGAAATATAATAGAGAAGTAAAAATTATAAATACCGGTACTGTACTTCAAGTAGACGTCAACATTGCTTGTATTTATGGTCTTGATGAAGTAATGACAGATGAGTTACTAGAACTTGAAGAGGGTACTATAAACATAGCTTTAAATATAGAATCAAACAATGTTGGTGTTGTATTAATGGGGGATGGTTTGCTGATACATGAGGGAAATTCTAAGCAACCGGAAGAATTGCAAAATTGCAATTCTCATGAATCAATAGTTTGGATTTGTAGGTAGTGACCAGACAAACAAAAGAAAAGAAGCCTCATATCTTTAGATCAAAAAGGAACCTTAGTAATTGGATTTACTTATTTTAGACTTAAATTTGAGGTGAATTCAATATTGTTCTAATTGTATAATCATCAACTACAAATTCATTTTATGTCCTAGCTCTTCCGTATCTTTTGCTTCATTTCTTCTGCAACATTCCCAAACACATTTTTTATTATAGATCTACTACCATAAACTCAATGCTTAATATTAGCATTCATTGTGTATTCCTGAATAATCTCATTTTTCAATTATTCAACCATTTTATTTTACCAAGTTCAATGTTAGTTAGATTAATCAACATTTCTATGTTCCGATGCAACAACAAGATTTTATTTGTAACAAGTAGAGTTTTGTTGGTTGGTGAATTGGTCACATTTTATTTATCACCTCAGTGATTTCTAGATGCTTTTGGATCATAACGTTACAGGTTTGGTGATTTCTAGATGCTTTTGGATCATAACGTTACAGGTTTATGCTCTTACTAAGGAGAGGGACACACTTAGGAGGGAGCAAAATAAAAAAAGTGATGCGGCTTCTCTTTTGAAGGAAAAAGATGAAATAATTAATCAAGTTATGGCAGAAGGTGAGGAGCTTCTTAGCCTTGTTCTATGTGTATCTAATGGCATTTTATTTCTTCTAATGTCTGCTGAAATGAGATCTGTATAGTTGCTTTTTGTTGGATGGTATGGGAGGAGGGGGATAAAATGTTTGCTGTCTGAATCTTGTATTCTCTCGGTCACAGTCCTTTTGGTTTAAAATATTTGCGCCTAATAGGATACTGCATGTGAAAGTGTCTTATCAGAAAGTTCGTCTTCCTATCTGACATAAAAGATATGTCTACCAACCAGGTGAGGAGCTCTCAAAGAAGCAGGCTGCTCAAGAATCTCAGATTAGGAAATTAAGGGCCCAGGTGTGCTCAGGTTCACTTTCACTATGATTTTTTAGAATCAATTTATATTACTGAGATGAATAATAATTTAATTGGTTTCGTGAGCTAGATCAGAGAGCTTGAAGAAGAGAAGAAGGGACTAATGACCAAACTTCAGGTAACTGAATTGAAATGTATGATAGGCTTTGGACTAGATTTCCTTGGATGACTAATTATGTTACAAATGTCTTTGGACCTGTATTATCAGATTTCTGTAGTATGTTTTTAGGATATTTTCGTTGTGTTATGGTGGAGACAAAAGGTTCCATTTAGAATTTGATGTTTGCAGAATTTATGGTCTGTTGCAACTATTATTCGTAAGGAGCGGTTATTTTGATGCATTTTCTCCTCAATTCTAGGTGGAAGAAAATAAAGTAGATAGCATCAAGAGGGACAAAACTGCAACCGAGATGTTGCTGCAAGAAACAATAGAAAAGCACCAAACAGAACTAGCAGCACAGAAAGAGTACTATTCATCTGCCTTAACTGCTGCCAAGGAGGCTGAAAATTTAGCAGAGGCACGTGCAAACAGTGAAGCCAGATCTGAGCTAGAAAGTCGTCTTAGGGAGGCTGAGGATCGTGAAACAATGCTAGTTCAGACACTTGAAGAATTAAGACAAACTTTAAGTAGAAAGGAACAGCAGGTATTTTTTTGTTCCTCTAAAAGTTTGCACTGTCTTAATTAAGCTCACTTTGCTGCTTTGAGGAGTCAGAGGACTATGTTATTGATTTTGCTTTGCAGGCTGTCTTTAGAGAAGATATGCTTCGCGGGGACATTGAGGACCTTCAAAAGCGTTACCAAGTATGTGGCACTTCTTATTTCAGTGCATCGTTTAGTTCTTCTGAATCCCCTGACCTGGCAGCCGCAAAAGATAAAATAGAACTCTAGAAATTATCTTTTGAGCTTCCTATATTTATATCTTGGTGGTCATTGTTTTACAGGCAAGTGAGCGACGTTGTGAGGAGTTGATCACTCAAGTCCCAGAGTCTACAAGGCCTCTTCTAAGGCAGATTGAAGCAATACAGGTCAGTACATGTTACGAAGAATTTGGAGATCTTATGATGATCTTTATACATCAAATTCAGTCTATTGGACTTATGTCTCAACCCCTCGTCATGATAACAGGAAACAACTGCTAGAAGGGCAGAAGCGTGGGCTTCTGTTGAAAGATCTCTTAACTCCAGACTTCAGGTTGCTTTGGAGTTTATTCTGGGCTATATACCATTTGCACAGTATATAGACATGTCTTTACTGAATTTTTAATGAAAGCACAGGAAGCAGAAGCCAAATCTGCTGCTGCCGAAGGAAGAGAGCGATCTATAAATGAACGCCTGTCCCAAACCTTATCTAGAATTAATGTTCTTGAGGCGCAGGTTCTTATTGCTAATAATTTTCCTTTTCCACCTTGCCTTTTGAATATTACCTTACATCAGAACTGTATTACAGGTTTCATGTCTTAGAGCAGAACAGACCCAGTTAAGCAAAACACTCGAAAAGGAGAGACAGCGAGCAGCTGAAATCAGACAGGAGTATCTTGCAGCAAAAGAGGAAGCTGACACTCAAGAGGGTCGTGCCAATCAACTTGAAGAAGAAATCCGGGATCTTAGAAGGAAACACAAGGAAGAGTTGCAAGAGTATCTGAGGCATAAGAAGCTGCTGCAGCAGGTCTTGGTTCTTATATGAGCTCATAACCGCTTTAACCTAGGAAGTATGGACTTATCTATAAGTGAAAGTTTCCATTTTGGGTGCACATCTGGGATATGAACACACCTTGGACATAAATCCAACATGCAACACAGTTGAACATAGATTTACCTGACTTGTATGTCACACCACATCTGTGGACTCAACAAAATAACTTGACCCTCTTGGAAACTTCTTGGATAATCCTTGGAAATAATCTGTTTATTTGACATAGGCCCCCAAACCAAAACAACAAACTTTCACTAGTTTAAAATATCTGGCATGATATTTCAGTTGCATCTTTTTACTTCTTTCACATTCGTTAATTGTTGAAATGTGTGCTTACGTGACAATTTTTCCCAAAATTATATTTTAGTTGATGTTTATTATTTTTTGTGTATGTTCCATGTCTTTGCCAATGTTGGGGGGGCAGCTGTTGTGGGAGTTCAATTTGTCTTTCAGTTTCTATATAAATTGTGTCATATAAATCATTTATTCAAGGCTTGGACTTTTATTACTCTTTAACAGGAGATTGAAAAGGAGAAAACTGCCAGAATGGATTTGGAGAGGAAAGCTCATCTCCACTCTACTGCTGCGTCTGATAATAGTTCCATAAAAAGGCATAATTCGATGTTTGAGAATGGTATGGATCTTTAGCTTGATGACATTATTTGTTAGGTTGCATTGTCTTACACTGTTGTGCAGGTGACTTGGCTAGGAAGCTCTCAAGTTCAAGTAGCCTCGGAAACATGGAGGAAAGCTATTTTCTAGCATCTTTAGGCTCGTCTGATAGAAAAATCACTGGGGACATACCAATGGGTCCATACTATATGAAGAGCATGAATCCTAGTTCTTTTGAGGCTGCCCTTCGTCAGAAGGAAGGGGAACTTACATCTTATGTCTCTCGACTGGTTTGTTCTCTTACCTTGGAACTCTTCAGTTCATACAGATCACCTTACCTCATAGTCTGCTCTCCATTACATTATAATCTAGGTTAAAAAAGATTTTTGGTCTCATTGAAGTAACGATGATTGTCATTACATAATAAACACAATCCTAGTAGCCATAAACAGAAGTTCGTTCTTGTGCTGTAGTGACCTTCCAGAAAAAACAACCATGGGTTTTAGGGTTTTAGTAACCATCTATCTTTAACCTCAGTGGGTCTCAGTTACCATCTAACTTTAACTTTAGTGGGTCTCAACCACAGAAGTTCATGGGTCTCCAAAAACTGCCATGGGTACAATAACCATTGTGACTCTTCTTCAATCTCTGTTATCGTCATAGGCCTCCAAGCACTGCTCGTGGGTCTATCTTCATCAAACTAGATCAACACACCTTTGTTACCCTACATTTGGTCAAGTTAACAAATTGCAAGAATAGAATTTTTGTTCTCTGTGTGGACCCTTTCACCGGTCATTCGTGGCTCACTTAATCTCAATAATTAGTCTACTACCTCTCTCACCATGAAGAAACACACTGCCACCTTTTCTATTGGTTATCTTGTTCGTCAGGATATTATGTTGAACGACATGGCTGACAACTATTTAATCGTTATTGGGTTCCTTGTGTAATAAGAAAAATAATTTCTTCTTCAACAACAACAGTGAGCAGATCACAAGTGGTTAATATAGGAAAAGTTGTAGTGGTTATGATTAAAGTTTAATGCATTAAATGCCCCAAACTCCCACCCACCATCCCACCACCAAGTTCAAACTCTTAGCTTTATTTTCATTTATATTTGACCAGAAATCAATTGAAATGATCCGTGACTCTCTTGCTGAGGAGCTAGTGAAACTGACCTCTCAGGTTGGTATTGACTTGTCACATGCTATTCTCTTATACCATTGAGCTTGGGGACACTTGCGCTGACTTCAAATATGATTTGATTGTCTATTGATGCACAGAGTGAGAAGTTAAGGGCAGAGGCCGGTATGTTACCAGGCATACGAGCAGAACTTGAAGCACTGAGGAGAAGGCACTCTGCTGCGTTAGAGCTCATGGGAGAACGTGATGAGGAGGTAATGACAAATTTCTTACTGTGTGGAAATCTAAATAGATTGACGTGTGGCAGGAAAGCACAATGCTTGCTCCTCCCCCTATTTATATTAGTTTTATGTACTGAGGTTGATAGTGATTTTGTTGGATTGATTTTATTATTGTTATTTAAAAAAAAAAAAAAAAAGTTACTGGATTTTGTCATGATCCCACTTATAATGTGCTATGTTTGCCACGGTGAGATGGTTGGCAAAAATCCGGTGCAAGATATGCACTTGGGAATTGAACAATGAAGGGCAATGTCTAGTTCAATCTCTATGACTTTGAGGACTAAGAGTTTTATTCGTTAAGCTTTTGTTTTGTTAGTTGTCTAGAGAATCAATACCATATCAGTAGTTTAAGCTTTCATTTGGAGGTGGACATCTTTTCATGATGAACTGAATATCCATCATTAGTGACGAGTTTTCCATGCAAGGACATTCACATTGTAATTGGTTCCATACAATTATTTCTCCAATTTTACATCACACTATCCTATCAATTTGATTTACATAACCTGAGGTATACTAACATGGTAGAATACCTAGATAAACATAATTAGAATAGGATCCAATTTAAAATACTTTGGTTGAAAGAATGCAAAACGCCAATAGGTTATAACACTTTCCACTTGTCTTCCCTTTTCCATAAATATATTTATAAGGAAACTGCCCTCTTACATCTATTTTGAGTTCAATAACACGTGTGGTGGATGAGATACAAATCTTTGATCTCTCAAGTCTCAATTGTTTGTCTTGACTAGTTGAGCTACGCTCGGTCTTTACACCCTTTTACCTCTGTTTAGAACCTGAAAAAAGGTTCTTCAGAATGTATGTTGAGCACCTGATGGCCATTTTATACAATGGAAACTGACTTTTATTTAATATCCTCCAATGACTGAAATTGATTTGGTTGCAGCTGGAGGAACTTCGTGCAGATATTGTTGACTTGAAGGAGATGTACAGAGAACAAGTAAACTTGCTTGTGAACAAGGTAATTAGTCCAGCACAATTTTGCAATACAAAAGGCTTCATTGTTCCTAAAACCATTCTCCACTCTCCTGCAGATTCAGGTAATGAGTTCATCAATGGGTACAGCCTGATAAGTGACTTCATATAGCGCCCAACAAAGTTAAGCGAGTGGTTAAAACTCGGCCATTAAGATTGAGATGGGCGGTAAGATGGTTGGTATTGAGATTTTTGTGCATGGACTGAATACTTGAACGGAAACTACATTTTTGAAAGTGTTACACACAAGCTCCAATAGCGTTGTATTTGACAGTATACCTTCATTCTTAGTGTACATTAGAGAATCGAGTGATAGTTTCAAGACGTTAATAAGATTCCATTTTGGCCTTACCAAAAGTTGCTACATCAATATCCAGCTGTGTATAGGTTTAAATCTATGATCAGAGTAGAGATTTGTAAGAACTTGGTATCCCATTGTTGCTTTTGATGGAAATGAAGAACAATGTATTTGATCTTTGAAGCCGTAGACAATCAAGGCAAACAAAATTCAAAATATTCATAACCCACTTCTTTATGTTGTTCATTTTGTTTTTTTCTTTTCATAACACACCATATCAGCACTAGTAGTTTATCAATTTCTTTCCTAATGGTATATTTCTTCATTGTTTTATGCATATAATGTACATGGATTGAATATCTCAAATACACATTATATTATGTAAGATTTTCTTCTAGATGTGTTACGCTACAAAAGAAAGTTGGACTTCACAAGCGCTCTCTCACATTAGCATAGTTCACTTGTTTTTAGTACTCAACACTCTGAATCAATGTATCACTGACCATCACAATTGGACACACATAAATTACATTCCAAAAATAAATTGGTATGTGAGGCAAAGTCAGCAAGAAAATATATATACTATCCGAACAATAATATATATATATATATATTTAAAAATATGTTGAAAAAGTGGTTGTTAGGGTTATCACAATGGGGCCATGGAGAACCGGCCCGCTATCCTTCCACCGACAGGAGAGGGAGGTGACGCTGCTCTGTGAAGCCAGCTTCACGCGGTTTCCTCCATCTTCAAGGGCAACCACTCCTGGGCTTTCACCCAAGATAACAGCCCGACTCCCTACTTGGAGAATGGACGAACCAGAATTAATACTCCCATGGGACCTACCCGATGGGATGGGCCAACATCCAGCCACTTTAATGCCCTCATTTGAGTTACAAGCCCGCATTACCAAGCTCGGCGAACGTTAGTGGTGCAAGGCACCTTATAAGCACTACATCTAATATTAAATCTAGCAATGTGGGATCCAGCTGAGACCTTGGTCCTCGCATTTTATTATTTTATTAAGTATTTTTTGAGTTTTAAACAGGTGATTGTAGATGTTTGTGTATATGAGTTTCAAATAATGATTAGATCGTATTACTTTAGTTTTTTAACTATAAATTTATAAATACATCGCCCTATGAGTATTCTTGTTTTTTATCTACTTAATAAATATTTTTTAAAAACCAATAAAAAACAAAAAAAAAATTATTATTTTTTTAAAATTTGTCTAAGAATTAAAATGATTTCCAAATAAATGCGAAAGAAATGTGGTTAGCAAACCCGGTCTATTTTTTATATATAATAAATTCAGAAAACGTGAAGCGAAGGTAAAATGATAGTAGAGATATAGTGACAACAATTGAGACATGGCAGCAAGCACAACCAACTTTCAATTGAATGACTGTGCCAGTTGAGGCTTAGAAAAAAAAGAGAAAAAACGAACCAAAAATTCATAAATTTGAGAACAATCTAAGAACAAAACCAAGAACTTACTACCCCTTCATGGATGATTGAGCACACGAGGAAATCGGTGTCTTTGAGACGAGGATATCCAAAGGACAAGGGCATGAGCTAAGGACAATGACAACCCTGCACCCAACAATGGTATAAAGTGAACGAAGAAGAATCGTAAACTCACTCAGAGTGAAAATCAACAAAATTGAGAGACGTTAATGAGCTCTTGTATAGTCATGAGAAGAATGATGAGGAAAGCTTTTCAATCATGTGACGAATAGTTAAATCACGTCGATAATTTGGATGTCAAATATAATTCAAATAAATTTGGATGTATATATATTATATGTTTGAGTTTTTGAGTTCTAATCCAAATTAAAAATAAATAAATAATTGTTTAAATTTTATATTTAACGGTGGAGTGATTTGTACTGATTTTAAAAGTTAAATGGGAAATAAAATGAAATTAAAAAATTGTAGAAAAAAGTGGATGTGAAGGTGAGAACTGCCCACCAAGTATTATTGGGGCATGGAGAATCGGCCTGCTATCCTTCCACCTACGAGAGAGGAAGGTTACGTTGCTCTATGAAGCCAGCCTCACGCGGTTTCCTCCGTCTCTAAGGACAGCTGCCCCGGGGCCTTCACCCAAGAACAACAACCCAACTCCCTACTTGGAATCGATAAATTGCTTGCCCCTTGAGCTTCCAACTGATCTCGGCATTGAGAGGTCTCTTCCAATTTGCGAAGAACTGTTAAAAACCATTTCTCGATTCGGTGACTCTTCGCATTTTCTCTAACGGAGTCTCTCCTACTTTCTTTGTTGGAAAATTCTTCTTTGTGCGATGTCGTACCACCTCCTTGGGTTCGGTGTCTTCTTGGTTGGAATTGTAATGTTTCAAGTTACTGACGTAGACAATAGGGTAGTTCGCATCCATGAGAGTAATTGGATCCTATATGATATGAGTCAATAAACTTCGACTTAGTAGAATAAGGAACTAACATATGGAGCAACTTTCGGAGAATTGTTAGTAGTTGTCAAATTATGAACCAAGTTTAGTGCTTTAATTAGGAAGATTGTTAATGGTTTTAAACCCGAGAAGAAAGTTTAGGAAACTAGTTAGTGTTTTCTCTACTATAAATACTCATTAGATGTATGCTCTTTTCCGAACAAAGAAAACTGAAAAATATAAATTCTTAAGGTTCTTCTATTCAAATGTGTGACACTGAGATTGAGTTCATGGTAGCAACTGTGGTGTAACGACCCGGGAAAGAAAGGAAAAAATATATATACATATAATAAAAATAAATAAATAAATAAATCAAATAAAGTAAAAAAAAAAAAAAAA